AAACATGCCCCTTTGAAAGGCAAGTAGGAATAACTGATTTTTTTTCTTTTACATGAAGCCGTAACAGAATCCTTCAAGATTTTCAGATTACAAGGGCACTCTGTAGGGCAGCATCACCCCACTGTTACGACCTTCAGTCGTCCTATTGCTTGCTGAAGTGATCACTGTTGCGTTACACCGGGATCTGGCCTGCTGAAATTCTTGTGTTGTATCTGCCTTTCGTAACAGCTTGTCACACACACCAAATAATAAGGCCATACCAGGTATTCCAATATAAACGGTGCCTCATTTACACATCCGTTCAGATGTTTCACATACTCACTAATAAACAGATAACACATTTCGGGATTAGCAAATGAGACCTTTCAGCACTATTATAATATGTTTCATTTAATGAATTGATGTATTTAATATGGAGATTCTTTTAATTAACATATTTAGTTGCATGACTCTTCTCATGCTGTGTACTTCTTTGTTGGTCAGTGTCATCAGGAAAACAAAAAGAACAGCAACCATTTAAAAATGATCACACAAGCTGAAATCCAAACCAATTGTGGAGCAGAGAGCTCCATGGAATATCCAATGGAATAGAGTCATCATGTTGCATGTGCAGTGGTCTGAACCTCCTTGAGGATACCTTAACACAAACAAGAGTACAAGCCTATCTCCTGCAGGGAGTGTCCTGTGGAGGCTTAATAATATGTGTCTTGAGTTTGACAGAGACACAATGATCGTTATTTAGAGGACAATATTAGAGCTATCATCTCATATTTTCCTTCATGATAAGGAAGAGGTTCTTGCACATTCCTGACAGGTCACTAACCATCTCTTTTCCCCTTCTTCATTAAAGTAAAACCAAAAAGATTGTAGAGCAACTGATGCCTCCAGTATTTGTGGTGTGAAAGCATTAAAAGCTTTTCTTCTTGCTAAAGCGTTTTTTTTTCTTCAGAATTGACAACTGACGAATCATTGATTCTCCTGAAGAATCAATGTTCCTACAAATCTGGCAGCAGTTTGGTCACTGACCTTCTGGAATCTGTGAATCTCTTCCACAGAGTGTGCCCTGTTCTGATTTCTCTGAAAATGCAGTCTGCTACAGAAATAAAGGACTGACAGATGAAGAGGAATGTTGTAGATCAGTTTGGGATCTGCTGCCTGCTGCTACATTTTTGTGGAGCAGTGAGATGAGTGGGTGCTGGTTAGTGCTCAACAGCGTTGGAAGTACGACACACAGCTACGAGTAGGGAGGCCACTTCCAAGAGCTGCCATAAAGGTGGACAAGCAGTGCTGGCACGTTCATTTATAGAAACAGTTGTCCACTGAAGAGTTATTTTAGATTCTAGTTATAAGCAGATAGAAATTGAAGCCATATATTTATAGTTTTTCAAGTGACCTTCCTTTAAGTGAGACAGTATACTCAGCTTTAGCATTTATGGAAGAAAGTGAGACTGATACTGAAACATCATGCAGATTATGTGCGTGTGCCTTAATATTTGTGTCACACATCTTCTCAGTTTTAAGTGGATCCTGTTGTTGGACATGCAGTAATGATACAGAAGGCATTTCTGTATGCATAGAAGCCAATGGCAGTCTACAAGTCTTAAGCCATTATGTATCAAACAGCATGCTTTATGTCAGATTTTCAATAACCTGTTCACCTGCAAGGCAACAGGGTCTGATGTAGTCAGAACATTTAGGAAAAAAAAAAAAAAGAGCTGAAGCGAAATCCTCAAAAAATCCTGAAGTTGTTTGTGAAGTAGTATAGGAAATGTGGGTGCCGTTGAGCACACTGACTCATCCATCCTGTTGCCAAAACAAATAGATGACAACTCCTTTAGAGCAGGGAGGGAAAAGCACTAGACAGCAACAACTAATCACCAAAGTCATCCTCTCTGCAAGCTCTTTTCTAGTTGCACAAGGACCAATAAGTTTATCAGGCAATCATCATGCTGCTTGTTCTTCAGTTCTCTAAGAGCACTTTTAATCCCCACAGAACCCCACAGTAATGGTGCAGAAGATTCTCCTAACCAAAGTGACTGAGCTTTCACGGACAGTCAGATAGGAAACTCCCAGCTCAGCAGTCTCCGGATTTCAACTAAAACATAAAAATAAATGACATCCAAACTGATGTCTAGCCATAATAAAAGTGTAAGGAACACATATTTTTAGATTTTGATAACCACAGTTTTCCTATTGTGTCTTTAGAAGTGAGTTATCCCACATTTGCCCTTTGGACTGCTTTGAACCATTTGTTGGTACTACTCCATGTGGAAAACTCAGTAAGAGGATGGAGTGATATGGAATGTGAAAAATACTCCCTCTACTTAAACTCTCACTAGTAACTGCTTAGAAACTTAGCTCTCAAAATTAAAAAATAAAATAATAAGCCCAAGCAATAGGGCAGATTCTTCCAAAGCAAAATATATGTAGGATAACAGAGTAATAGTTTGCTAGTTGAATAATTTAATAGTTGGTTGAATAACATTGAAATACAACAGAGGGCGAATACCAATTCATACAAAATGATCTAGTTTTGTCCAAACTAGCATTTCTACTTCCCTGATCTTTAACGTTAGCTGGTTCAAGTCATCAGCATGCACTGGAGACAAAACTGTGACCTAATCACAGACTCAAAGCAGCTGAGGCTGAAGGCATCTCTGGAGCTCATCAGGTCCAACCCTTGCTCAGGGCTATGTCCAGTCAGTATTTGAAGATCTCTGATGATGGAGATTCTATGCCTCTCCAGGCAACCTGCTTCAGTGTGTGTCCACTGTCAGAGTCAAAGTGTATTCTTATGTTTAAACAGGATTTCCACTGTAAGAGTCAGTTGTAAGACTGATGGGAGTCTTGATGGCTTTGTTGCCACTGAGCATCACTGGGAAAGTCTGGCTCTCTTGTCTTTTCTCCCTGCATCAAGCATTTACGTCCCAGCCCTTGCCAAACTGAGCAGCCCCAGACCTCTCAGTTTCTCCCTGTATGACAGACGCTTCAATCCTTTAATCATCTTTGTGGCATCTCAGAAGTCCTGCTCCAACATGTCTATGTGTCTCTCACACTAGGATCCAAACACTGGATTCAGTACAGCAGATTTATTCCAGGGCTGGGGAAAGGATAACCTCCCTCTACCTATGTGCAGTCTGCTTGATGCAGTTCCAACTGCTGTTGGCCTTCTCTGTTGAATTTGCTGCTTCATGCCCAACTTGGTGTCCAGTGCCCACGCTGCTGCCAACCACTCGGTGTCTGCCAGGGCCCTTTTGGCAAAACTGCTTCCCAACTGGTTGGTCCCCAACAGCCTGAGCTGTTGCTTGGGATTATTTCTTCCAAGGTGCAGGACTTGACACTTCACCTTGTTGAACTTTCTGGTTTTCCTGTCAGACAATTATTTCTCCAGCCTGTCAGGGAAAACCATTCCAGCTATGTTCCTGTGTCATTTCTGAGCTTTGAAGGGTCACTACCCATCTGCCTGCCCTTATCTCTAGCACTGATACACATTACTTCCATAAATGGCAGTCAAGTAATGATAACTGGAAAAAAAAAACAACCACCACACTATATTCATTTTTATTGAAAAAATACACATTAAAAGTAACACTAACTACTCTAATAATGTTCTCGTATCTTAATATTCCAGTGAATGAATCATGAAATTTGATTATGCTCTTGCTGAGTGCAGCTATTAGCAAAATGGCAATTTTGCCATGTGAAAGGAAGACCAGAACCTCACTAGCAGATATGGTCTGATACTGAATAATAACACATTACTCAAGGCTTCTGTGCTGATATTAAGGATATGGTATCTAAAGGATTTCTGTGTTTGTTTCTGACTCATACAACTGATGCTGACACATGGACACTATGTAAAGACTATGGATGAAGGCCATATCCTTGGTATAATTAAGCACCAGCAGATGTGTAGGATACAACTAGGAGCTACAAAGAGACAGAAACAAGAATCTGGCAGCATGCTCCATAAATGCTCCCTTCACATACACACATTCCCTCATGCTTCCCTCATTCTTTCTTAAGAGAAGAGAAAAACTGCAGGATTTTAGACAGCGTAGCCAGCAGTGATTTCTAAACTATGAACACCCTTCCACCCTGGCTAATAATGGTTTTATTTGTAGCAGTTACCAGAGAACACTATTAGACGATGGGCCATTTGGCCTAGTGGTCCATCAGGGTTGTTTTGAGACCACTGGGTGTCAGGTCTGTGCTCCTTTTTGCTGTTTTCCTTATATCCTCTTGCTTTTCCCTGAACACGGAGGGACTTAAGGAACTGCGAGTCAATCCTAATCCAATCCTTGACACTGAATAGATTACTGAAAGCAGAATGCACTAAAGGATGTCTTAACTGTATATTTGAGCAAACTAAGGCTTGTGCCTGTGATACTTGAAGAGGGGCTTTGTTTAATATGCCTCAGCATACAGTAGTGTCTCATGCAATAAACATTGGTGAAAATGTTTCTTAAAGATAATGTGCAAGAATAAACTGACAGTTCAGAACAATTTATTTATGGTATTTTAATACCAAGTAAACGCATTTCTCAAGTAAGAATTTATAAATCTGGCAATTTATAGAAAAAAATAAATCACAGCTTCACAAAAAGCTAACTTTCAACAGTTTGCTCCCCAAACCCCCAACACACAATTTACAATATAATTCAACTGTAGGTAGAAAGTTAACAGCGGTGTGAAATTCTTAAAAAATATTTGCAACAGCAATTGAAAATAAAAGTATGATATTTACTCAGTGAAAAAGTAATAGGAATTATGTTTCCCAATAAAGGATACATCAGAAAAGCAGCAAAAAATCCTCCTTCTACTTATTATGTGCCACCTTTCTCCCTGCCAGAGTCATCACTGGCAAAGGCAATACTTCAGTATTAATCATTGCCACGTTCAGTGTTTTTGGCAAGAAGTCATACTTAGAAGTCCAGTGTTTGAAACGTGTTCTGTCCTCACCCTGTGTGCTCCAAAGGTTGCTGTTATTCCTGTTCTTTGGTGCAAGACCGAATCAGTGACAGCTCAGAGAAAGGTAAGTGTAACGATTTTCCTATGGATTCATGTCCACTCTCCACTCTTCCTTCACCTCCCCAGTACAAACTGGAAAACCTAGAAATTTTAGTTTCTACACCTTACATTTGAGTACTTACACAAGATGAGGGACTTGAATGTTGGTGTTGTATTTTCACCTGTGCACAAAAAGCAATGCAACCCACAGGAGGAAAAATGTTCCTTCTCTAACTGAATTAAAAATCACATTTTCAAAGGTCATTGCACTTGATAATAAAAAGGCAATTAATATGCATTTGATATTAAATATATTGTACAGACCTAAAATTCTGTGCAATCCATTGCTTCAGACACACGCATACTTAACATTTTTTTTTTTAAAGCTAAGCTCCTAGATGTAATTTAATGAAGTAAAACTTTTTAAAGAGTATTTTTTCAAAGACAAAAATTCCTAAGAACACATACGCACACACTTATACACTCCCTTTAATTCCTAGTGCATTTGAACAGATATTTGTTTTGAAATTCTCCACGTTGTTCCCACATTGAACTTTGCTCTCATTCTAAACCGATTCAGTGACACTACACACGAATGCTTTTTCTCTGGCCTATCCAATAGGGCTGGCATTTCTCATGCTGTTGGTACAAACATGAAAGCTGAAGATTATTGCCTCACTCCTTTACCTGCAGAGGATTTAAAGTTTTCCAAGTGGATGCAACTCATTTTTTTGCTCCTGCTGCCTGCAAACTCCAAAGGCCAGTTTCAGGTGCCAAGTGTTTATTATCCCAAAGCCAGCATTTTGGGTTGTCTCTGCAAATTTTGTGACAACTTGCTGTTAAAACCACAGACATGGAAAATGAGAGGGAGATATTGGTCCCTGAGATATACTAAATGAGAACAAGAACGAATCACTGATATTTAATTTGGACTGGACCCTCTTTAAGGAAAACTATGTCAGCTTCAACTTTCAAAAGTTTAACAAACAATCACTAAAAATACCCTTAAATCGGACAACAGAATATATACAGTATTGGTCAAGAAAAGTATATTGTAGAAAGTAGTTGTAAGAGTTATCAGTTACTGAGAACTACAGATCTGTCCTGTGAATAGTGTGCTGTATCAAGTTTGTCTTTCAGAACAAACACAAAATGGTGAGAACAAGAAGCATGGCCTTAACCAAAACATCTACTTACTCCTACCTCTTTAAATGTACAGTTGCAGGACTTGATGTCTTAAATACTTATAATAGGCAAATTGACTACAGTTCCCAGAAGCCAAACCAAACTTTCAAACTTTCTGATTGATCAATTCAATAGTGCTCTGTTTACCATATCAGTAACCTTTTCATTGCCAAACCAATGAAAAATGTTTCTTATTGTCAATACATTTTGAGCTAGTGTTTGAAGAACTTCTACCGTTGAGGGTGTTTCAGAACAGAGGCAACTAAAACAAAACATCTTTGGCAACCACAGATATATGATAGATAATTCACAGAAGCTGGAAGAATAGTAAGACCTTTACGAAGTCCCATAGTGCACCATTCACTTTTTGCAATTTGTTGTATAAAGTACCAAAACTCCGAAAATTTTAGCTAAACATGTGAAATTACCTATGAAGTTGCAGGGTTTTTTATACCAACTTTCTCAAACAATGCTAGGGCTTGTGAAATTTGAAAGGGTGATGTGAGATAGTCCACACAAAGTCCTCCAGTACAGTTGGAGTTGATTGGAAAGGGAACAGAGAAGTGAAGGGCTGAAGACTTAAGTTTCAATGTACCACTCAGAGGTTGCTCAAGGACTGACAACAGATATATTCATGAATGAATTTAGTCACACAAGTAGTATCATCACACTGGTGGTGGAATCTCTTCAGACAAGAAAACAAAATGAAACAAACAAATAAACAGCTGCATCCAGAGAGTCCATTAAGCAGTCTCATTTATCTGTACCTTAAATAAGAAAGGATATCCATTAGAAACATAGAAATTACTATATTACAATACTCTGAATTGTTTTTAACACACTATAAGACAGCTGAGCTATAGGAAGAACTCAGTATAACTATATTTTGCTTTCAATTAAGTCAATTATAAATTGAATTATGCAAATATAAGCTAGCACTTTGTGTGTATGAGAGAAAAAAACACTAATAAAGACGGGTAAACTTTTAACAAGTAGAAGAATCAAATTAAAGTACACTACGTTTATTTTTTTCTGAATACGAGCTTAACTTTCAGAAATGCAGGAAATACTGCAACTAACTTGTATAACTGCATTGTGATTCCTATATGTAAATTAGTGCACAATTCAGCAGTAGCTATCACTACACAAGAAAAATTGATTCTTAAAAAAACAAATCAACAATAAAGGCTATTTAAGCAGGAAAAAATATGGTAGTACTATCAGCATTCTGTGAGAATAAGAACTTTATAACCCAGGCGTAGCTAAGATCCCATTCACATCCATTCCTTTAGTTTTAGAACTCACTTGAAAGGTGCCAATTTAAAAGCATACAAATGCTTTTCTTTAAATTTGAGTCTAATAAAAATTAATGTCGCCTTCAGCTAATCCTCACCTCTCACAAAACAAACAAACAAACAAAAAAAACAGCTATAGAATATGCTGAAATCTCTGAGGTGTCTAGATCCAAAACACTTAAGAAAATCTTAAGGACCCCAGTTTAAGGACATACAACTTGCTTTAGTAGTTAAATGAAGCAAAATATTGTCCCCTTCTGTACTGGGGGAAAAGAATGGAGATTATAAAATAAAACGCAATAATTGACCAAATTTTGATGAAATTATGAAATACAGTATTGCTCTTCATATTCAGCCATCAGGTGCTGCATGAAAAAGCAGTTAGTTTAGGAGATCTCTAAATAGTTCTTTGCCATGTTAGTGTTCTCTATTCTGCCACAGCAGATTTCTGCTTCACATTTCAGCAGTTGTAAAAGCATGGCTCTGACCTACAGAGGCATGTTCAACAACAGCACGATTGCCATGCAAGACTTACTGCTGTTTCAGCACATGAAAGATGAATTCAATCCTCAGTAGATTCAATCCTCAAACTTATTATACCGATGACTGCATTGCAGTTCTATTGTTGTGTTAAGAGATAAAATGTAACAAGTTAATTAATGGAGTCACAGTACTGAAATTAGAAGGAAATTCTGGTCAGCTAGTTCTGGCATTTAAAAGCAAAAGAGTATTTACCATAGAAAACATCTCAGGGGGATGCAGCCTTGCTTCAGTCAGCAACACAAATGTAATGTACTATGTTGTATCCTAACTACGCAGCTGAGCAAAACTACTCATCACTGTATCATCACTAATGCTGCTCCTATTAAGATAGTGCCATTTTTTAAAAAACACAAGAGCTGGAAATTTCTTGCAACTTCTCTTGTCCCCAAGCTTACCATGTGAAAATAAAACAAAATACTCAATAGATACTGTTTGAAAACAAGGATAAAAAAGGGTTTCTGAAGGCCACTGTTTGTTGAAGTGTTTTCCACTTGTGGGTCTGAAAGGCACAGACAAGCTTAGGGAGAAAAAAAATCTGCTTCTTTGAGATCCCACAGTGTAAGTTTAGATACATATGCAGGTTACTGATTAGTTGATTTTAAAAAGCAGTAAACCCAGAATTTCAGTTGCCTATTTGCCCATTTAATATTGATCTTCATATTAATTCAAGCACCCCCATGTGCTCAGGAGCCTCACCTGGAATTAATACTCAAGTTGCTTAGTTCAGCTTGTTAAAAATTTACCCACTTATCACAGTTGGTTTTATGTTATATTTCATAATCAAGACTGTTCTCATTCACAAGATACATTCCACATTAGTGAATCAATGTCAAACCATTTGTTCAGTTTGATTTTTACTTAGCATTTGTTTAGTTTTATTTTAGTTCTCCTATGAGCTCAGGCAGTCTCTTCCATGCAAGGTAAATTACAACTGAGTGGTTAATTCAGGCTGAGTTGAGTAGAAACAGAGACAAACACATCATAACAGCAGCATGCTAGAGTCCTCAACAGCCTGTTTAATAAATACCCCATCTCCCCAGAAAACAAAATAAAGAAAACTAAATAACCACCCCCTAAACAACCACCTAGCATCAGTGGTTGTACTGTAAAATATTTTCCTTGAAAAGACATTCTGAAACAGAACAACAAAGAACAAATGACATCACCATATAAATGTCTTTTTCTTACCAGATGAATATCTTAATTCAGTATTTCATTTCTGGCATAATTACCATCATCCATATTAAGAACTTTCTTTTAAGTAAGTATATTAATAGGTTGAAGATGCATCTTCATTGCATATGCACACACAGTCCCTCTACACAGTTTTTGTAGGTTTCGACCCCACTTTATTGGGGTTTCTTCTCTTCATACCTAATCTATTCATTTATCCTCCAGAGTAAAGCACTAAAAGAACATTCTAAAGATTAAGTAGATGAAGGTTTCTAACCATGCAATAATTCCAAGGACAGCAGAAAAACAAAGGATTACATGAAGATAGGTTCCAAGAATAGAAGTCTTCCCTTTACTTGGACCAGAGCCTCAGAATAATTAAAAAGGTTATGAGAAGAAATGCAAGACAAAGGATGGAACCTACTTCTAACTGCAATGCATGCTGCAATGCAGATAATGCAAAATTCTGCTAGGTTGCTCCAACCTATATCCTTTTTATAAACTGTATACAGTCTGTATAGCTAAACAAAGGGAAGTGATAGCATCAGGATTAAAATGCATCCAACAACTATGAATTCCATGGCACATAAAGATGAATTCAAGACGGCATTCACTTTGTTCCCTTAGGCACTATATGACTAATTAACACCCTTAAACATTTGTGTGCATGAACAACAAAAAAGCATCAGTCATTTTTGCTGAAAATAAACAGTGGGGAAAAAAAAAAAGCCCAAAAAACCAAAACCCAACACTTAAACTAGTGTAGATAGCTTTTTAAGTGATCTAGTTCAAATAGTAACTAACCTGAGACGTACTTTGCTCCGATTAACATTATCATGCTACTCATAATAAAAAAACCCAAAGGCAGACTACAGAAGATACTAGTGTCACCTGATGTCATCCAGAGGAAGGTGTTTCCAGTCAAGCAAATCAAAAGAGAAATATATATATAAATTGCAATATATGTGTTAAAAAATCATATGAACAGCAAAAAGTAACAACAGCAGTGACATTTGTAGAAAAATTTAAAAAGTTCATGCATAACCCCCCACAATAATTCAAAACAGGCTCTCAACAGGAGGTAAAGTCCAAATTCCACCAACAGAACTATCAGAACTATCTAGGTTGAGCCCATTTCTAGTATTATTCAATCTTAAACGCTCCTAGCAGGCAGAAAACAAAGATCTAAGAAAAATAACTCTTTTTGCCCCAGTGTTGACACATATAATGACTGAGGTTACGTTCTGATAAACACAATCCTTTTCTAATTAGCTGAAGAACTAGTTTAATTTTCTGCTAGGCAGATTTTCTGAACTTCAAATGAAAATAAAGATATATAGATAAGATAGATATCGAGCACTTGGGATTTTGGGAAACGTAACAGAGAATCTAGATATAAGGTGACTAAATCATACTGCACAGTACTGAAGTGAATCTTCTTAGTCATGCTGTTAACTATTTCCCTTCCAAACAGCCTTCAGGGAATTGTTTCTATAACCCTGATGTTAAATAAAATACCTAAACCTATGCACAAAATTTTAAAAGGAAATATTTAAGTTTAGTTTTCAACAATAATGCAAAAAACTTAGGCTGCAAGTGTGGGTTTTGGGGGCTGGGTTACATTTTGAAGATTCTTTACTTAAATCTCTTAATTTGAGTAGTAACTCCAACAAAAGTGAAATGAAATGAAAGACAAGGCCCACAAATTGTGTGCAGTAGGCTGATTCGGGCCTGAAAACTTAACCTGAAATACAGCTTAAATATAAATTCAAATCATAGATCATAGAAGACTGCAAGTTTTATTTAATTGAAATCTAACAGATAGAAAATCTCTCTACTTCAAAAGAAAGATCTTTTTAGTTTCTCAAAAGCATTTGTAACATTCTACGTGTGTGAGCAATAAGTCTTTGCAATTCTTCACTTTATGATAACTTCCTACTCTTAGTTCTTGTGTGTCAAGCAGGTTGTGATGTTGTTATCAGTCCCTCCTTTATATGCAGCAAATGATAAAGGAAAGATACAGCAAGAAAAATTACTGGATGAAACTTTTCTCTTTTGCAACATGAGTAGAAGAAAGTTCACAAAATTCCTGCACTATCTCTTCTTTTACATAAGAATTTTTTTCTCTTGTAAACCATCACTATTCTGTGAAACCTAGAGTTAGTCCGATTTAATGCCCTCTGATTCTAGCCTGCAAGATATTGCTGGTATCATCATTTCAAGAGGAAGACCTATATTTCTGATTTGTTTCCAAAGTGTTTTTAAGTAATAATTTTCAAATTACTGGAATAATTGATGGATGGTAGGAATGGAAAAGGTCACCAAACTCAAGATTAATTAACTAGGCTAGCTGACTAATTAATAATATTTGACCTGCAATAATGTTTATTTTACCATTTGAAGGAGCTTCAGATGTTTCCCAGCCCATAGATTTCATCACAGCTTTCTTCCATCTGGCATAGCGATATTCACTTTCTGAAATTGAGAAATAACAAACAGAAAAATCTGTCAGTGCCTATGAATTCAAATGTAAGTATTTAAGCTTCAAGGACTACACTACTGGCTTTTCACCCTTTTCCATAATACAATTTTTCTGCCTCAAGTAAATATTATAAAATATTATTTTGAATATATTACGTAAAAAAAAAAATAATAATAATCCTTACAACAACCAGAAAAAGAAAAATCACAGTAATGTACAGTAAGGAGAAATAAACTTCAGAAACACTTTTCTGAATGTTCAACAGTTAGAAGATGTACAAGTAGGACAAAATGAAGCAATTGTTATCTATACAGAAGCCCTTCAGTATTGAAAATACTGTCTTGAAGTAGGAATCCCAGAAGTAATTATAGTCAAAATGGTAGGACAAAATTCTGCACAAGAAGTTAAAAAATAATTGGAAAGACAAAATGCATTTATCTTGCAGATGGATTAATTATGCCAAGTATACTATTTTTGCTTCTATAAGTACTTACAAATGATGAAAAAGTTAGCTAAAATAATCATCAGTGTAGGCTTTTTAAAGACAAAGTAGGAGTCTCCCACAAACACTTTGCCCTTTCCAAATCTGTGAAAACACTTAAATTCACAAGAGCTTTAGGAGACATTCTTCTTCATAAAAAAACCTTCAAGATTTCTTTGATTTCCTTTCTGAAAGTCAAAAGCCACTAACTGCAGTGCCAGGTACTGAGCTTCTTTAAAAAAAACTAAAAAGAAAAAAAAAAAACCAAAACAGCTCAACCCTGTGGGGATGTATTGTTTTAACAGACCTACTGGGTCGAATGCTATACTAGTCAAACAACCCTAATCAAAACAGCATGTGGAATACACTTCCCTAAACCAAATGCTACAAAGCTGATAGTTAACATTTGTAAGGATATTTACATATAGCTGGTTTTATATGGGTATGTCAGAATGCAACAAAGAATAACCTGATCTGTTGAACATAAAACAGTTTACAGATTCTTAGAGTATATTCAAGGGTTTTACCCTCTGGGTTGATCTGTGGTTCAAATCGTTCACATGTGACTGCTGTCAAATCTCCAGGATTCAGACTCCAAATTCCAACTCCTTCTGCAGCTCCTGCTGCCATAGCAGCTCCTAGAGCTGTTGTTTCAGGCATTGATGGCTTCACTAAAGTAAATCAGAGAGAAGGCCATGATGTTTTTTCAATGACAGTCAGATGACATCAGAACTAAAGACTTACATAAATATCTATATTTTCTATAACTGCTATATTAGCTTTCCTTAAGTTTACCAACTGCAAACACCATTTTATTGCAATTCACATGGTTATTAAGTTAGTTTCAACCATGAGTCCTCAACATGTTGAAATTCCTCATATCACAACTTCCCTCAATACTGAATCATGCAATTGCTCACTTTCATATCATGTGGAAGGCTTCTGACCTCTACCACCAGTTTCTTCAGCATACTTCTGTTAACACTAGGATTATTTTGTTGTCCTTTCCCTCCCCAAAGCAATGACCAGTGGCAAAGTTATCCATTTTGTTCTCATGGTCTAGCTGTTCTGGTATTATGAGCATTTTTATTTAGAACAGGCATCTTAAAAGATGTTACATGCCGGTACTTAATAGCTTGTTTGCTTTCCACTGTCACTACAGAAGAACATTCAACCCCCAGGCTGTAAATCTGTTTCATGTAGAGAACTCCTTAAAAGCTGATCTTACTGATCACGTTCTTTCAACTGCTAAATTTAGGCACTAATAGTATGGACCTTGTGCATTATATATTATTACAGGCAAGCTATAACATTTCTATTTAAAAACTTTCCAATAGCTTGCTATCACTGAAGTGTCTCACATGTTCATGCATAAAAGCAGAGAAGGTGCAAAGCTCAGACTGATCTCTGTCCAAGGCTCTCAAGGTCAGCAGGTCAATTAATTATTTCATCAATTTAAAATTTGTCAGACAGTTAGAATTTGGTATGACAATTTTAGAGTTCAATACTATCGTAGTGCTATAACATTTCAACATGAGATACGAGAGTCAGAGATGTTCTAGAAGAATGAATCTCAAAATTTGATATAAGACCTAAAAATCTTTTCTGAAAAGAAAAGAAATAAAAAGTCCATCACTCATCAGGCTGAGAAGAGCAATCTGAATGGCCCTCATCAGCCATTATGAATGAATGCTGCTTTCAGCTTTAAAAAGAAAATAGGAGTTGTAATTTTGTCTTACCTACTGGAATACAGAGGATGTCTGATTGGAGTTGCATGAGAACTTTGTTATTGGTCATTCCTCCATCTACTTGCAACTGACTTAATGGTATCCCACAGTCCTTGTTCATTGCATCTAAAATCTTAAGAGTAATATATATGTTAAGATTTAATTGAGAAAAATCCATGAAATCCTCAGAATGTAAAATACTGACAGTCAACATTTGCTGCAGTGTTAAGCAGATAATTCTCCCTCCCATATACATCAAGTTGGCAAAACAGTAGTAACAATGCAGTTTTGTTTCATGTACAGCAAGTGCATTCAATTTATCACAGAAATCCTGATGTAGGAAATGTTTCTCTATAGTTAGCCTATCTTTTGCTTATATGGTCTGAAAAGAACTTTGAAAGAGAGATGATGATCACTATGAACTTTGTTAAACTAACAGGGAAGGAAGTCCACAGAATTACCTTACAATCATCTAAATGCAGAATATTGAGTTTTATATGGTCTTGTAATAATATTCAATCAAATGGCTCACTTACATTTTTACTTTTAGCATATCATTCTTGATAAACAGGCATTAACTATTGCAGAATGACTTTCTCTTTGTAATTTTTAATTTATTTGAATTAAAAAAAAAAAAGGTGTACTTTTCTCAGCTTTAAATGATAAAGCAAAATACATAAACCACACACACACAAAAAAAGAAACTACAATGCATGTTACTACTATTCTGTAGTTCACAAGGCACTCAGTTATACAGTCCATACTGCGAAAGGTCAATCTTATTTATATGAAAAAACAAGTCGGTTTGTAAAGGATGAAAAACTATATCGAAGTGTGTTATCTAGTAGATTTTTATCTAGTCCCAGAAAGTAAATCAGGACGGAACCAGAAGTATTGACATAAGATAACTAATAGTTAAAAAGAAGGTAAAAGGTCAGTTTTCATTGTGGCAGGAATTATATATAGACCTGCACATTACATTTACATTACAAATAACCTGGAAAATAGGATAAACAACAGATTATGAAAGTCTGCTGACAGTACTAAGTCATACTGCTCCTCACCATTTGTTTCCTTCATGTGTACCATTTTACGTTCAGCTATGCTGAATTTCACCTGCTTTTCTCTACCATTCAGAACTTTAGCAGTGCCTCATAATCCCAGATTTACGCATACTGTTGGAGGCTCCAACTTTATCAACTTGTGAAACTATGTTGAATAATAATGTGATGCACTCAGCAGAGATTAAAAAAGTGAAAATGAGGAGGTGCTGAAGGAACAAAACAAATCACGATCATGCTGCTAATATCTCTATTGTAGTGAACAAGGCACCTAGGTAAGCTGTGTCTAGTGACAGCCGTGTGCAGCTCTTAAAAGGGAAAAATTACTTATTTTTCTGTAATGCTTTCTGAGAGAAAAAAACATAATAAGGGTCATCTGATTGCACTTTTTGGATAAAAAGGAAAAGAAACTGGATGATACAGTAAAACAAAACAAAAAAAACCCTAACCAAATGAATGCAAATTTTGAGTTTTCCTGAAGAATGTGGAAGACTCCTATTTCAAGGGAAATTAAAACAGAATAACTTTGTTTCTGACAAGAAAAAACCAAGAGTATATTTCCAAAAAATATGTTTTATCTACATCATCATGACTTAATTTACTAATCTAGGCACTTCCAGAGACCTAATAAGGCACTCCTATATCTGTGAAGTGTTAGGTGTTAAGTATGACCTAACAGTTAACTTCACCTTCAGCCTGAAAGCTTTATTCCCCTCTCTTCTACAACCAGCCACATGCTGTCTCTTGTGACATTTGCTACAGTCCTCTGTGAGGCAGCTGAGGTCATTAATCCAGTAAAAAAACAGCTCAGCAAAAGAGGGATAATTTTTTGCTGGAAAGTTCATTGAGCTGTCACGTGAGATAGAATGGATAGGAGGAGGGATAAGGAAAGAGAGGAACAGACAACGAACTAGGCTATCATTTCAGTTGGCTGTAATTTTACTTTGACTTCTACTATCAGAATTAAGAGATATAAACTAAGTTCCTTTCATGACTTTCTGAGGACTCACAGGGTGTTAGTATAGCTTCAAAAACATCTGCCTTGCTGAAGTTTCTGACTTTCTTTTTCCACAGGAGTTGTCTTACTTTGCTCATTGTTACTAGAGAAATAAGGAGGCTGTCTTCTTCCTCTTACACAGTGTTAATTGGATATTGTTTTAAAACAAAATATGTTTACATAACACCATCTTAAAAGCATGAAATCATATTAAGGTTTGACTCCTACCTGTTAGAGTCCATGATTTTCATTTTGTCTTGTACTTTTACAGAACACAAGGAGAATAAATTGATAGTAGATGGTGATAAAAATATATTAATGCTTAGAACATTCTCATATCATGTTTTTTAATTTGGTTGAAGGATTAACTTTGAGTGTGAGATTTAGTTTTGTTTTTGCAGTATGTTGGCAAAGACAATTAGATATGTAGTGAACAAGCAGTGAATATCAATTTCCCTTGATATGTCTGCTGCTCTTGTGTACTGAAAGCAACATCAATTATATCTGTCAGAGCACAGAATATAGAATATAGTCTTCTATGATGTAGAACTAATGCTACATATCAGTTTTGGCACTGCCTTGTCATTTTACAGCTTGTCAGTTCTGCATCTCATGATATTCACAAAACGTGTTCACCTTATTTTAAGTGTTGAGAAAAACCATAAAAATAATGTACCACCCAATCAGATCATTGTAGCTAATTTCACAGGAACAATTCTTCAACACAAGCATCATGTAAATTAGCATACAAGTGTAGTATGAAGCACCTGACTTTCAGTCAACCTTTTTAATCCTCTCTCTTTCTGAAGATTTACAATTACTATTATCATACTAGTTTACAATGAATTAAACAACTAATTTGCTTTTACCTCTCGTGTTTGGAAGCAGACTGCTTCTAGTGCAGCAAAGGCAATGTGGTTTTTGTTTGTAAACTGGGTAAGGCCACAGATAATGCTGTTGAACAGAGGAAGAAAAAAACCAGCAGTTAGAAAATACTTCAGACTTAGGCCTTATAATTCACAGCTCATTCAGTTCTGTCATATAAAGACTGCTTTTTAATGTTAAAAAGCTTGTTTCTTTCTGAGTTCTTTTTCTGAGTTCTCTTATCTCTGTAATAAGCTGTTTTCAGTGTTCAATCAATACAATTCATTGCCGTAATTTACAAAATTATTGTCAATGTGCATGCATAAAGGATGCATATTCATACACACACATACAAATGCTCTTCCCTTAAGGAATGTATGATCTAGGACAACTTCTATTTAAAAAAAAAAGTATCAGTGGTCACTAAAATCTTAGTAATTCTCGCATGCTTTCAGTTCTAAAGGAAAAGCCTGGCAGGGTCAATGCTGTGTATGTGGTGCTGGATACATGCAAGAAGTGAGATATTAAAGGACATTTTTAGTTACTGCCATTTCAAAGATCAGCTTATGATAGTTAAGAAGCTAAGCACTGTGATCTAAAAAATTGTTGGAATACCTATGTCAGAGCTTTTTGTTCCTTAAGTACTAAAAGCATTTAATTTCTAAGAACAGCACTTCCAGGCCTTGGGAACTGGATATTCTTAAGGAAAGATCTCTTTTTTCAATTTAGGAAAGTTATCTTATATGTATTATGCTTCTGTGACTCTCATGGCATGCTCTGATTCCAGCAACAGCAGACAAGCTTACAACAGCAGAAAAGAACAAACAGAAGGCTACTACTGCAACTAGTAGATCTAACTAGTACCACACTGTTAAGTCTTAAGAAAGGGATTGGGATTATATTGAAGAGTGTTTAATAGATAGAAATCAAAGAGGAAAGGGAAGTGAAATAGGGAAGAATTTAGAAGGTTGAATCATTTGACATAGTGAATGCAACAGCTGTGGGAAAGTGAGCTCAGAGAAATAAATCACCACTAATTTCTTACTTTTTTTCTTTTATTGCCCAACAGTTCGCAGGTACACAGAACCAAAAATGTGTGAAGTAAAAAAAGCTGGCTTTTTCCATGTCATGAATCATAGAATCACACAATGGCTGGGTTGAAAAGTACCACAATGATCATCTAGTTTCAACCCCCCTGCTATGTGCAGGGTCACCAACCACCAGACCAGGCTGCCCAGAGCCACATCCTGGCCTTGAATGCCTGCAGGGATGGGGCATCCACAACCTCCTTGGGCAATCTGTTCCAGTGCATCACCACCCTCTGAGTGAAAAATTTCCTCCTAATATCTAACCTAAACTTCCTCTGTCTTAGTTTATGAATGATAAAACTATCCTTGTCAGTCCCTTCTAACTCGGGATATTCTATCACTCTGTGATTCTGTGAACTGTCCTCCAAAAAACACAACCTTGTCAAAGTGTTTTCCACCCTCCACCCCCAATTCTTTTTTATATTTTTAGAGGTGGGTGGAAGGATGATCGGCTGAGTCAGCTAGTCCTTGTTCTTCGATCAGGAGCAGTTACTGTTTTGAACAGATTAAACACAAAGGAAGAACTGTGGTTGCTTGAAGATACTATGGAGAATCAAGAAAAAAAAACACCAAAAACAATTTCTCATACCTGAAAGGACTAGTGTTAGTATTTGTAAAATAATTAAATATTCCTGCAAATGTGATGCTTATTCAGATCCTTACCCCCTTGCACTGGGTTCCCAGTAAGGTGCATACAGTCCTGAAAATGCTGGCACAAAGTAGCAGCCATAAGAAGTTCCCGCTTCTGCAGCCAGTTTTTCTAATGCACACACAAACAGTCTTTACTTAGCTTTTCACAACTACACCAGCATTTAAACATGACACTCAAAGATATTATTATTTAAAGAGAGAATTTTTATAATATGTTAGGTAGCTACAAAAGCAATCAAGCTATTACGACTAGAAAATACAACTAACTGGCCATCTCCTCATCTGTAACATGATGTCCACTTGCAACAATGTGAATGGAAGATGGGGCATAGGAGGCTGTGGTAAATGTAAAATCAAAAACCAAAATGATTTACTTGACAGTATGCTGTGGGAATTCTACCTTCAAAGGTCACACTTGCATTTAAGTCAAGGCAAGCATGCAAAACTGGATCAAGACCAAAGAGAGTTAAGAACTAAATTCCCATTAATTTCAAATGGATTTAGAGTCCTAAATTCTCATCTTAAGTATATAATCACCCGGCCAACCACAAGAAATGTGAAGTTTCTTAATATCTGAATAGTAATATCAGATATCTGAACTCCCCAATATTAAAATACGTAATTTTAAAAGTTGTATTAAAGCATCCAGCATGACAAGTTAAGTATTGTTAGTGCACAGCTCGTTCCTAATAACAAGTAAAGAAAGTATATTTTTTCAGCTTTTGAAAATTTCTTTTGTTTGCATTGATCAAACTACAGCAATAGAGAGGAAAGGTAGGGAAATATAGTCAGAAATTCTTTTTCAAATGATACTTTCATACAGAATCCACTTAAAGGAGTGAAGTGAGGAGGAGAACATTTTCAAGGAAACAGGAAATGATGACAGAGTTCCACAAGATTTTAACAACAATGACAAGATCAAAGTTCTTGAATCCCTGACCTTTCAGAAGTCTAATGAAACTTATAAAGCCAACAGGAACTACTGTGTTTCAATAGCTGGCTAATTCTAGTGACAGTAGCTTGTATTCTGTATACAAATACAGGTGAGAGTGAGGCTTTCTCATAGAAAAGCAGATTGTTTTACATTTCTGCTTAGTTTTAAGTCCAATCTGAATTCTATTTTTTTCCCACTTTTCAAAAATATATCAAATTATTAAAAAATGTAATGAATTGCTTTTCAATCCTAAATCTCATTATATCAGTCACTTTGAAACTTATATAATGCATATCTTTGATGTTTTCTCCTTTTTCAAGGTTTGGTGTATTCGTAGTTTCTGCATTACACACCAGTTTATTTCAGTTCAGCTCAAGCAGAAAAAATCAGAAACAAAAATTCTGAAGGAATTATAGTCAAAACAGGCAGCCATTATGGGTATCTGCCCTAGGATGGATTGGGGCTTTCAGCAAACTGGTCTAATGGGAAATGTCCCTGCCGATGGTAGGAGGGCTGGAACTAAATGATCTTAAAGGTTCCTTGATTCTATGATTAACCACAATTTCTTTAAGAGACAGCTTTGCAAACTGAGGTCTCTACTTTAATGGATATGAATACTTCTGCATCAATTGTTGCAAATTTAGGGCTTCAGATTGTCATGTTTATGACAGCAAAAAGTATGTTTATTGGTTTAGGATTCAATATACTTTGGATTTCATAAGACTTATACTCTTGGCTCTGGAAAACTGAATACTGTACAAATATTGTAAGATCAGCATCTTACTGAGAATCCGCTTGCTAGGGAAAGTCAACAAAGGTTTTCAATGATCTTAGTGATATGCTGTACAAAATATCAGTGAAAAATATCAATAAACAGGGGCTGCACAGCATAATGTATGTATGTATCTTCCAGATATTCTTTACTTGAATATTTTGAGCTTTTATTCAACAGCAACACAGCCATCAGAATTCAACAACTCATCAAGCAAGTCAAAAAGAACATTTGAAATTAACAGCTCCAAATTGCAAACACTCACCAATTTCCTGTGAAGTTTTAACAATACCTAGATTGTCCCTCAGCCAACGAACGACAGCACCAGCTATTGCAACAGATCCCTGAAAAAAACAAGATCACTACAATTACATGCAATTTTTCCATGGAGAGGAGTTGCCTAACTTCCTAAGCAATCTTCTGGGTTCCTCTAATTTAGGGACAAAACTAATTATGTCTAGAGTCTAAATAGAAACAGCCAGAGAGACAGAAAATTTAGTCACTTCCATTTGACAGCAAAATTCCTCTGTTGACTCAATAAATGCCCTTGAATGGTTCCATCATATCAAAATTGCATGCCTCCCATTTCACTGCAAAAACTCATTTGGGTTTCTATACAAGACAATCTCAAGTCTACTAAACTAAGCTTCAAGCGAAATGGAAAGAGTGTTATATTCTCATTCTAAGCCATTGCTAAAAGAGAACAGAGGTGTTTTCTAAACAGCCTGCTCTTACAGTTAAAACACATGGGTTTGATTAAAACAAAAGCTTGAATCCCTATTTTTCACTCTAGAAAGTGTCTTAACCATAAGATTATTCTAGTATGGATGTAGGAGTAGAAAGAACAATATCTTCTGTAGAAGACATTTTTTTCAGACAATATCATTAAAGATGATGAAGAAGAAAAGTACGCACAAGCATGTGTGAGCGTGTGGAAATAAAAGTCACTCTTAAACAAGGTCTAAAAACAAACCAGACCTCTCACACATATGTACAAAAAGAAAATCCCAAAGTTGCCAGAACATGACAAATTCAACTTCCCACATCCTGATAACCGTAAGCCACAAATTATTTTCCCAGAGAAGAAAATCCTGTGCGTTGTCTTGGTCTGTTCAAAAGCTCAGTGGTAGCAGACAATTCAGTATGCATATTTAAAAATAACTATTAGATCAAGCTCACATATCAACAGAGGTGGAAGAATAATTCTGCTGATCCCAATGAAGTAGTGGTGTCAAACAGTTGTTGAGCTGCTCTGTGCTTCAGAGGCAGAGTTTTAGAATGATGAAACTTTAAGTTATAGGTAAAGTTCGATTTTCTACTGAATTTGGATGTCCTCAGAGTTGTGTGGAGAACTGAAGAACTAAAGGAACTGGAAATAGGCACCTATGTTTTAGAAGGTAAAATAAGCTTAATTGTTAGATGTATCTTGTGTCAGAAATTTGGCTCAGATTTTTAAGTTTGAAGTAAAAACCATTAGAATGAAATTAAAAATAACAGACATCTAGTCGTGCTTTTTTTTTTTTGTCAGAATAGCTAAAACAGTATATCTTCCTTTTTAAACTCAATCTTGGTTTGTTTATTTACTTAGAACATTTATGAAAGACTGTGGAACTGAAAAAATGTTTCAGACATTACACCCAGAAGTTCAATGTAGAATTATTTTTTTTAGATTAAGTGATCTAGGTTGGAGATAGGATAACCAAAACCACACTTATCCTCGAGGCGCAAAGCTATAACAGAAAGCCATTTTAATTTCTGTGCAACTGAATGGTTTCACTGGAGATAACAGAAAGATACTAAAAAGCAAAAGTAATCATAATCATGTACCATTATAAAAAGGAAGAAATTATTTTACTTACTTCTAATGCATAACAAACAGGTTTGTCTCTGCCCAGTTTGTAAGCTATCGTGGTTAGAAGACCATGGTCAGAAAACACGGACTAAATAGGGTAAGAAGAAAGAAAAAACACAGGCAGAAAATATTTACTTAAGTACAGGCAAATGATAAAATAAAAGAGATAAAACTGAGAGAAAAAAAAAGAAAAAAAGATATATAAAAAGTTTAAACAAAGTAAATTATCTATATAAACAGCTGAGATAAAACCCTTGAAATGCTGGTGTTTTAATTTTTCATTTTCATTAGCTGCCCTGGATCTTTCCAGACTTTCTATATCAAATAACTAATAACTAGTACTACAGAGAAAGAAGGGTGAAAGAATAAAGAATAAAATAGCCAAGACAAAGAAGAGAGCATGTAAGTTACACAACACTCAGCATTTTTTTGAGTGAGTTTAAGAATTATACACAAGGGAAGTGCAAGAAACTTACTATGAGAAGTTCACTTTGCAGCTAGGAAGTAAGAATCTTACTGAAACACCTCGAACAACTATTACTTTCTGTTCTTTTCGATTTCAATATGCAATTCAATATTTTTCCTTACCTCCAGCAATACAATTATTGCTAATAAGATTACAATTTATTTATAGTTATACTCAACTATTTAACTGAAGTTTGCTAAAAACAAGTGAAAAATGAAAAAAACACAACTGACCTTCTGACCTGTATTGCACAGCAAGAAACATCCTGTTCCATACCTAGCATAAGAGCAAAGAAAAGTTAAAACTAGGACATTTAAAAGATAAGCAGTTACTGCAGTTCTTGAATTCATTACTCCCCTAGGGAGACACCACATTTTTTCCTCCTGAAATGTATGTTACCATTAATGGACAATGAAACCATTCCAACATAGTTTATTTAAACACAGCTTGAGGCTGAAAAATCTAGTTCCACACTTCTCTCTCTGATTATTTCTTGTACAGTACTTATCAAGGAGCAGACAGAGCTGAAAGCTGAGTCTGAATTCTTCTTTACTGGTTGTGTTTACTTACTTCAGTTTAAGCTGATTATGAAAGCCACTTTATAAACCAAATATTTCACAACATTGAGTTCAAACTTTTAAAGGTGAAAATGCAACAAACTTTGTTCCTGTCACAAAGAAGATTGGTTTTTTTAAAACATATTCAAGTTCTAAAAATTGCGTGTATCTCATTTGAAACATTACACGTATGCACAGACATACAAAAACATAGTTTAGTAGCCTCATGCTCTGTGTTCATTTATTCTAACTAATTAAGAATTCATTTTTATTTAATAGTCTGAAAATCCAAAGCTTACAAATAGTAATGAGAAAGTTATATTGTTAGAATAAAAAGGATAAAGTAGTTTCACAAATTGGCTAGAAATCTCATCTGATATTTAGCTTTAGGTAGATATTTTTCCAAACATCTCTTATTTTATAAAAATATTTCTTATAAAAATACTTTGTGTCAAAATTGCTCAGAAGCATGTTTGTTTTAACAAAATACAAGGCTACTAACTTTGATTTGTGCGTAAGTATAAAAGATAACTTGAAGGTTAATTAGCAACAAGTATAAATTAATGTGTAATTAAATCTGTGAAAGTCCAGTGCTGTGTATACACCTAGACATTCATTTAAGCAAGAAATAGCAAATGAAACAGTAAGTCACTTAAGTATAGAGCTTTTCCTCAAATAAATATTTGATTACACTGCTTGCCTGATTGAACTGATCAGCTATTTTAAACAAGAGAAAATAAGATGCTGAGAACTAGGAAAAAAATCAGATTTGAAACTCTCCATGACTGAGACACAGAACCAAAGCTAAGCGCTGTAACTTAAATGAATTCTTCCTATCTAGCAGTAGTGTGTGGTTTTTGTCATTGAAATCTATGCAATCTTAACTCACACTGCCTGTATTTGTTTAACTTTAGATCACACCATTTAAATAGCAACTACTTAGCTCTGTGTTTTGGTGTATTTTAAAATTAAAAGCCTTCTTTCACACAGAGATATTTCCTCACAGTGACTTTGTTCCAAACTATACATCACAAACCATTTTACTTTAATATCTTCAATATTTTATTCAAAAGTCAGGACACTGTTTAATTTCTAGATCAACACAGTTGAAAGGTAGAGCTGTAGTTATGTGGTAACTACAAAAGTATTTGGCAGTTAGCTCAGAAGAGAACATAATACTAAATTTAAAACAGAGCAGTGACCTACTGTTTATCTCACAACATTCATCATAACCTACGTGTTTTTTGCCTGCCCATCTTGGAAGCACATTTGCCCAACAAGAGCAGCAGACTGGTCACCCAAGCACTGAAAAAAAGAATTTTTTTTTTAGCGAATGTCTTCATATGAATCACATTCACAAACAAGTAACATGAACAGATATATTTAACTATAGCTCTAACCTATTAGGAACACACAGCTAATTGAAAGTGAGGAAAAACTTGTAGAGATAACCCTCTTTCCTCTGTAAGAACTGTAAATAAAATGTGTCGTGATGCTTGTGGTAAATATCAAAATTAAAAATTATTTAATGCATGTTGTGGAAAAAAAGATGAGAATCTGCCTCAAGTTTCTGGATTACGTATATACTGAATCCCTTTTACATATAAAGCAGAGCTTGGTTCCATTTTGTAATGCTATTCATTTCCTTAGAGAGTCTCAGTTTTCAGCGTAACTACACATATGCATTAGAGTTGTCAGCTGTATTTCCACAGCCAGATCTTAACTTCTTCAGTATAAATTCCACTTCAAAATTTATTTCATGTTAAACATGAAGCTAAAAAACTTGGAAACCAACAACATTTTTGTAGCAAGATTCACCCTTCTTAAAAATTTTTGCAGGAAGTTGTGTCTCGCACCAAAATTGATTTAAAGTTGACTTACCCCAGAAATTGGTACACCCGTCAAAGCTCCAGATTTCTGAATCACAAAAAGAGAAAGAAAAGCTCCAGATCAGCTTTCCATGAATACAGTTTAAGGTAATCAAAAAGAAGCTAGACTTATATTTGGGAAGATAAAACTTTGCATGCATAAAGAAACAGATGAAGTCACACAAAAATGGATAGTCACTAATGCTGGAGAAGTTGGCTTCAAAGTATGTATTTTTTACTATTTCAATTCTCTAATTCTACTATTTCAGTTTCTCTACTAAGAAACAGAAAATGGATGTAAGATATTGATGAGAGAGACAACATCCTGGAGAAAAATACTTCTGGTAGGAGAAACTTTTTTTCTAGGAATTTGTTGAATATAGCATGAAGTGAAGAACTACAGCTACAACACAGAAAGACAGATTCCTGGGAGAAAGACAAAACAAAACAAACAAAAACACATGAGATAATTAAGAAAGGAAAAAAATGAGTAAATTCTGTTAAGTTATATGTATGAAAAGCAGAGATTCATAGCATAGAGTCATTACTACTCACTGTTTAAGATTTACTACATCTTAGTTAATACTAAGAGTAGAGATGTAAATAAAACCAAAAGCTTTCCTCTTTTTGTATCACTTTAAATAGAAATGCATTGTAGTTGGTTTAAAGTCAGTGAAAGAAAAAAAAGCAAGGAGGCTTTAATGCCTAAAGGGTCAAATAAACAATATGATTGAGCGGAGTTGCACATTGGACTTATGCAACTCATGACTAAAATAGGGCAGGAAAGGGTCACATGAACTATAAGGCTGAGTTCAGCTGCACATTGGACTTCAGCTTCATGCAGCTCATTCCTAAAATAGAGTAGGAATTTTACAGGTACACTTGATGTCATCTCAACAGTTCTTAATACATATGTTTTTTGAAATATCAGTGTACGGAAAACAAGGTGCAGTGTAACATGCAGTCTGTGTCAAGCTTAAAATGTAGAAGTAAAGTGACTAGAAAAAAAGTAGTTGTTATGCAAAGACAGATGCCTTATTTTAAGGTACAGCGTTTCAAGTGGATTAGAACCTTTTCCAAACACTACCAGCTTTTCAGTTGCATTCTTGCAGTAGGTATCATAATAAATATGTATCTTGACAACATTTATCTCTGTCTTTAAATTTTTTCTTTGTGGAACTGCAAAAATGAATTTTCAGTGAAGCCATGCAAGTGCATTTCCAATATGATTTTTTTTTTTTTTTAATTCACACTTAATTTAACTGGATTGAAGGTAATTCAGTTTTAAAATGCACTAAAAACCCCGGTGTAATTTGATGTTTCAGTATAACACTTATTAGACAACAGCTCTGTTTTTTACTTCAATATGAAAATAAATATTCAGCAGCTTGTAAACTAAAGCACACACATACATAAACATTATATTTTAGATTTTTATATATATTTTTAATATATTTTATATATTTAATATTTTGTATTTTAGAAACAATTTTGGTGTGAACACTCATTGTAATATCTCAAATTTGGAAATACTTGCAAGTTTAGTGGACTAGGAAGTGTGCTTTTTACTAATCCTAAAATCAATGGAAATGCATAGCATATAGACAGAGTGGATAACATACAGGTGGTGAGCCTAATAGAAGCCTTTACTCACCAGGCTAGGACAGATTTTCTAGTCAGCAAAAGGAAGAAAAGAAAAAAAAAGTGGGAAGAAAGGGGAAAAGAAACACAAGTACAAATTTAAACTGACCAGCTATTCTGCTTCAGGTGCCACATTGTAGTATCTCATCTCTTATTACTTTATTGCCTAGAAGTATTTCGTTTGCTCCACTCATTCAATTTAATTACAACTCACACTGATCTGATGTTTCAAATTAGTGAAAGTCAGTAATGATTTCTAGTAGCATCTTTAATGACATATTAGTAAAATTACTTACATTTCAGGCAAGTTGGATTTACATTTGAAATAAAAATATTTTAGTTTGTCCTAATTACAAAATGCTTGGATGTCCTTAGTAAACAATAGGGTAAAATGCCAGGAAAAAATAACAGAAATCACAATATCCAGTTTATCCTATTTGAAGGATATTCTTATTTTAAGAATAAATTATCTGTCACTTTAGCAGAAGAGTTAGTGCTACATCATAGTAAATCTGAAATTTCAGGCCCATGACAGAAATCCATATTTTACTCCTAAATAACCTTCACATTAAAAAAAATCTCATTACCTTTGATCTACTAATTATAGCTTGCATTCTGACAGGTAGTTTCTACAGTACTTGTCAACAAAAATCAAATTTTTATGCTTATCAAAAACCTCTCCCATCTTGTTTTGTCTGTTTGACACTTAACGTCTGGCAGATATTTATCTTTGTATAAGATCTGACAGCAGGACATATTGACATACTAGTCATAAATCAAACAATATTAGTCCAGAAAAAGCCACTATTTGAATGAAAATTCTCTGAATTGATATTGACATATTTTTACAAGATAAACTTACACACACGCACAAGCAAACATACCATCAGGCCATAAATCTCAGATGAGCTTCGTACTTTTGGAAGTATATCCATAGGAATATCAAAGAATCTGAGCACAATACAAAGTTATATATATGGTCAGTGCTAAATCAGGAAGGATTTTGCATTTATTTTCTGAAATAAGTTTAAGATATAAGGAAAAAAAAATATAAAGGGAACTTAAATATCTAGGATTTCATGCATATGTTATTCTATTTCTCATAAATGTGACACTGAACTAGAAAGTAAAACAGAACATATTTGGGTATTTTGAAGACATATCTAACTCCTCCATATGAGAAGTCATTCCTCTTCCAACACTACCTTTATAATATAGTGATTAATAAATTTAAACTCAAAATAAAAACACTATCATTGTAACTGCCTACAAATGAAATTAATGAAAAAAACAAACTATTAAATTGAATTGTTTTCATGAAATACTTTCTACCCACAGAAAAATTCAAGGCTCTGATGTTTAAAATTACTTGTAATTTGGACTTTTGGTTAACATTGAATCTTACATATTAGCAGTAAATACAACAGTAATTGCTGATTATAATCTAGATCAGAAATTCTTACTATTGAGTGTTTTTTAAGACATCACTTACAGAATCTTCTTAAATAGAATTATTACTATAAAACTGAGCTTACTGGCAGAGCTCAGGATCCCAATCCAAGGAATGAATGTTGAACAACATCGTTCTACTGGCATTAGTTACATCTGTACAGTGAACACCTCCATTCTTCCCACCTGTCAAACACTGAATTAAAAAAATAATAATAATAAAAAAATCAACAGTATTTGGCATGAGAAGGTACAAGTTTACTTCAACAAATTGCAAACAAAATCTAAATTCAGATACAAGTTTGCTTCAACAAATTACAAACAAAATCTAAATTCACACAGTTTTCAGCTTGGGAGTGGGAACACTGATGTTTCTGCAACAGCTAAAGCCAGATACAGTAGAATAAAGGCATGGGAAAGATAGTAAGGGCACAGCAGTACCTCCTGGATTCTTATTTTACAAAAGTGGCTAATACATCTTTCTAAAGTTCAAGTTTGCCCAAAAGCATGCGAAAAATTATCCAGCAACCTATAAATGGGAAATGACAAATGTGCATATAAAAAATAATAATAATAAAAAAAAACTGTAATAGGGACAGTACAAGTCCATCTTTATTAGGAACTTTAATGGAGTTTCTTTAACAACTTATGTCAACATCACCATGTGATCAGTAATTATCAGTGCTCCTGCTAGCATCCCAAACCTCTGCGTATAAGTTTTGCTACAAACTACACAGGCTTTGATCAGCAAGTGAACTTGCAAAACTTCCGTAGGATGCAAAAAATCCTTTTTTTCTATATAAAGAAAACTATGCAGTATTTCAGAAGATGACCGTATATTGTTACAAACATTCAATAAATACTAAATATTTTGTTTTGTTCACAACTCCAGGAGAAAACGTTTTAGGTAGGAACTTGCATACAGGAAATTGAAATCCATTTTTAGAAGAGTGATAATAAACTCACAAATACATACCCATATGAGCCACGAATCAATAGTCCCAAACATTGCTCTTCCATCATCAACTGCTTGCCTAATCTCTTCCACATTATCCAACAGCCATCGAAGTTTCACTGCACTGAAGTAGGTGCTAAGTGGAAGACCAGTCCTAAACTGTAAAATGAAAAGCATAAATTTAAAAAAAAAAAATCAAACATTTAACATGCAGAGATATTCTCCACAACTACTGTTGTTAAATATAAAAAGAACCTTAGTAAATGAAAAACTCAACACCCAAAACTCAGAGAAAACTCATAAACTTTTTATTAAAATAAATAATAAGCTTTCAGTAAGCAAGTCTGAAAATATCAAACCCAAAGAACTACTGCATAATGGACAAAGATCAAAGCTGAGCTAAATCCAGGTCAAAAATCCTTTATGTGGAAACAGTTGTTAGCAGAAATCCAGAGATATCTAGGATATCTCAATATGACCAGACACAAAGTGAATTTGACACAGACAAGCAGCACGCTACAAGAAAGACAGAATTTGTATTCTACTTGAACTTAGAAGCAATAAGTTTATATACTTTCCACATTTGTTTGCTGGCTGTAAGCAGACATATAAAATATTTATATAATCAGTCAAGGAAAATGTAAATAAAAGAATTATGACATTATTCTGTAAGCATTTATTTTCAAATTTTGATGTATACTCTTATTAGAAAAAAATTGCTTTTTATAAAATATCTTTGCAGTTCTCAGACTGGTTGCAAATGAGTTCAATACTACAACATATGATGAGAAATGATAATGAAATATTTAATATCAATAAGTGATTTTTGAACATTTTTTTCCCACTTGCTCTTACTTTTTGGAGGAATATTTATTAGACAGGAAGCACATAATGAAGTCTCACAATTGCCCATCTAACTTCTCTAGTGAAATATCTAAGGCGTATTACCAATTTATTTGAGGAAAATAAATATTTTCCAGTCTCAGACTGCTGTATAGCATTATGTACATTTTTTATTATTTGACAAGCTGGAAGCTACGACTGACTGACTTCGTTTTAGGGAATTTTTCAAGAAATACCTCATAACACTATATACTATCTACTATATCAGTAAGAGTTCAGCTACCATTTAATATTCTGTAATCTCTCTTACCTTAAAAAAGGATTTGTTATTTCCAGGAATTCTCTTAAGAAGCCTTTCAACTGTTGACTGAGTTCTTAGGTCAAGCCACACTAGAAACATGAATAAAATAAATTAATCAAATGATCTATTACATCAACAGTGACATAATTAAGATGTTTTCACAAAACTCGAGTATATTTGCCAGTAAATTCCTCTTTACTCCTTTTTTTTTTTTTTTTTTTTTTAATACGGAATTAATATTACATTGCCATTGTATTTTTAAAGTATAGTTGTAAAAAAAAAACAAAAAAAAAGGTTGGATAAACTCATTCAGTTTAGAAGAACTAATGATTTGCAATATCAGACATGATTTTCCACATAATAGAACACATATTTTTCTCTTCTAGAGCACAAGTGAATGACTAATACTACTTCGTTTATAGCAGATGAATGCTATCAAATTAAAAGGTTAAAACAAACAGTAGGTTGATTATTTACTATAATTATGAAACTTTGAACTAAAGTGCTATGCCAGAGTTATCATGGTAGAGCTTACAATAAAGCTGTAAATAACATGCATTTAAACACATCAGAGTCCTAGTCTTTCAATGGTACAATGCTAAATTGCCTGACACTTGACATAGGCTGAGTGAACAAATCCAATTTCTCAGCAGGAATAAGCAGAAAAGCCAAGAAAAGTAAAAAATACAACTCCATTAAGTATTCTTTTAAACTCATAAAAAATGTTTACTTTAAGATTAAATCCTAAGAATCCTGACCATTGAGTAAGCTCCTTCATTTGAAATGAAGTGGCTTTGAGTAAGTCAGGGCTTCAAGGCATGCTAAGATGTCCAAAACCCTTCAGGAACTTTGTTTTTTTGTTAAAAGCTTATTAGGTGTTTTCTTAAGTTATTAGGTAATAGTTGTAACAGAACGTGGCACTTGTGTATACAAACACACAGCTAATGATGGATCTCAAACACTGAAAAGAAGTTAGTAGGCCAGGCCACAATGAGATGCATGCAGAACTAGGAAAGCATTTTTTCTACACCATACTCACTTTACAATATTACACGTTCAAAAAGTATAGTAGTTACCAATAGCATTATAAAGAGGTTCTCCAGTCGTCTTGTCCCAAACCACTGTTGTTTCCCTCTGGTTGCTAACTCCAATGGCTTCAGGACAAAATAGAAAGAAGTATCCTTTTCAGAGGGTTTATTTTCCACTTTTTTGGGGGTGTGGGAGGGAAAGGAGAGGTGGAGATGAGGGAGGAACATGTAAGGAGAAGAGGCAAGTAAATGGGAAATAAAATGCTTCCAACTTTTTCATATTACAATCTAGAAAGATTACTTCTAAAAATTGAGCATTCATCTCTTACAGTGCTCTGAATCCTTTTTATTTTTCCACAAATTAAGACATCAACACTGACAGGTAAACTAATTTTCACCAATAACACTTGAACAATTTACATTTCAGAATTTCCTCATTCACTGCTCATGTCTGTGATTTTGCAAGATTATGTAAGTCTATCCTGCAGATTTTGCCTTGCTAACATACATGAACAATATTTTTTCTCATCATTCCTCCCAAACAAACTACTCTCAATAAAATTTAGCATTTTCTTTGAGGCTAAGGCTAGTGGCCACTTTTCTCTTTATTGAGTTAAAAACTAGAGAATCTGACTTGCTCAACTATGAGCATGTTAAAGCCACCAGTTTTCTCTCAGAATACCTTTTATGTTCGTGATGTCTATGTTCAGTTGCTGCAGTTTCTCACAGGTTCTTTCCACACATTCATGGACTGACCTTAAGATTTCCTTTGGATCTTGTTCCACCCATCTATAACAAACAGTAAACATAGGTTAATAAAACAAAAAATGCAAGTCAAAAAGCTACTTTTAGAGAAAAAAAAATCAATTCTGAACTAAAATCAGCTGAGCATTTTGTCACAATCACAGCTATGGATATGTTTTACATATCCATAAAATGTTTAATACATTTCAAAGTCTTTTTAAAGAGTAAATGGTATTTCATAGCAAAACTGTCTGCAGAAAACAATAATTCTCTTCTATCTCAGGCAGAGGGCTTAGGGGCAAATGGTAGACATGTCAAGAGGAAGGCAACAAAAAACATCTCAGTGAACAAACTAAGCAATCTCCATGAATTAAGCCGGAGAATATGATTAAATTGTAAAAATAGGCAGCTTAACCTCTTTAAACAAGACTTCAAGTGAATGATCGGTCAGAATGAAAAACTAAGTCTCCTTACTTTTCATAACTCATAATTCATACTGGATGCCCCATGTAGTTATTTTACACCACGTTTCCTACCACAAAGTCATTTCTAGCAGATACTCTTTTCGCAGTAGTTCTTCATCAACTTAAGTTCTGGTCATGCCTACACGGCAGTATATACAGTCTATCAAAATGTACACAAATGAATAAAAAGCCACAGAAAATTCATACCCTTCCTTAGGGAATTTCTGCTGTATCTCAACTTGATGATGACTCAGGAGCTCTGCTGTTTTTGCATTAAATACCTGCAAACAAATTACACAATTGGATTTTCTATGAACAGAGAGGTTTAAACAACAATAAATGAACATGTATTATTTGGAATAATTATAGTTAAATGATAATTGATAGTTATTATCTCATCTATCATTAACAAAACAAACCAACCAACCAAACAAACAACCCAGACAAACAACCAAATATCCATAAACTGAGTTCAGATGTATGAATTCATGCAATTAAGGAGCAAATAATATTTTGGTAAGCTTTGCTGTCAATTATGGGAAATAACCATATTCTTTTCTTGAGGAGGCTTTAGAAATTAAACTAATGACATATATTAGAATACACTTCTCAGTCAGTAAAGTACCAAACACTAGTGATAACAACTTTTCTTTGGCTTCTGCTCTGTTACTCTGATACCACAGATATGGCAAAAGGAGAGATCACTATCATTGTGTCACTTTTCCTAAAAGTGACAACTTTCAAGAGACAGATAATCACATCCAGTTTAGAGCCAGTAGAAGGGATCCAACTGTGAAGAATGAAGAAGCACCTCGACAGAAACCTATTTGTTTCAGTGCAAACTGCATATACAGAGCTCATAAACAATCTGAGAAGAAAAAAAAAATGACTGCAGCAACACACAATGCAATAAAAAGGAGAAGGTTACACAGAAGGGTGACTTAAATTTGGATACATTGCAATAGTAGAAAGAGAGAAGAGAATCCTGAGTGCTATACTAATAGCCATTCTTTAGGAAACGTGAAATGGAGTTTCTGTCTTGCAGTAGAAACTGAAACAGAAGACACATTAACTTTCATTAACAGTGGCCTGATTCTGAAAGTAATCTACTGTGCCAAGCCAAAATGACACGAAGTAAAACATTCAACTTGATTGTATAATGAATAACTGACAGGGCAATAACAGTGTTCCTAGGAAAATGGTTCTTTCTCACTGACACCATTCAGAACCTTTTGTCTAAAGAACATTCAGAAACCTTGGAAGTAAAATCTAACCAGAGAGTCGAGTCAATTGCAGAATATGGCAGCAGGACTCCACCCTATCTTTTCCCAGTAAGCAAACAGAGCAGGATTAGATTTAGACAATTCCTCTCATACTCAAGGTACAAAATTCAGTTATACCTGCCCATCCCCTAAGATAGGACTGAATCTTTTCTAGACTTGCTTGGAAATCTTCTCTTTCCACAAATTTTAGTAACTTTTCTTAAAGCTTTTAATCTATAAACTCTTGATTTCATTTAGAAATCTTTGAAACGGTTGGACGAACTACTGCAATGAACAGATGAAGTTCTGATTCTCCAGTTCTCCAAGACTTTAAAGTGTATCTTTAGAGAGAAACTGAAGTTCAGAAACATTTTAGTTACAAATTTAAATCACAGAATAGTGCAGGCCTTAGAGATCTGTAGCTACCTCTGGTACAGCCACCTGCTCGAAGCAGGGTCATCTATCAGATTAGACCAGGTTGCTCATGGACTTTTTTCCAAGCAGATCTTGAAAACTTCCAAGGATGTAAACAACACCATGTCTCTGGAAAATGCTAAAAGCTAATATTCCCACTCAGCTCCTCAGAAAAGAATTCTTAAAGAGGTACAAGTTCTTTATGTTCTGTTACCAGCCAGAGACATTACAGGAAAAAAGCACCACTGTATTTTTTTCACTCTATTTACTTAGCTGTATTTCACCTGCAAGCTCTGCCTTGGCATGAAGCTATCCTAAGAGGGTAAGCTCTGTCAGTACTACATGCTTGGAAGGAAGTACCATAATTGGATAAGGGTTTTAAAATGCCGAACAATAGAGTTAATAGGAGAGATTGTCTTGCATGTATGTAGAAAGATAATTTTACTTGACATTCCCTTTATACCAAAAGTGTAGTAAGATTTACGAAGTTTTTATAAAGATTGAAGATATTATATTGAACACAGGTTCAATACATATTTATCTGACCTACTACCAACATTAAATATCACTTAGTAAGCATTCACCATTAATCATTTCAGTATTCCTTGAAACAGAAAGCAGTACATAAAGATTCCTACCGCTAGCAGGAAATAAATACAGACTCAATTAGACAAGGTCATTCATTAAATCTAGAGTGTATGGCCTGCACATAATTAAGGGTGAAGCCCTAGCAGAGAAAGGCTTTTTGTCCCCTTCTGTTCTAACAGGAGTAATTTCTCAACAAAGCCAGTGTCACTACAAGTGCATAGATCTTTCCAGTGTCCATAGAGAAGAACTAAGTAAACACTCTCTCCTAATCTATCACGAAGAAAACCACAAACTTCTGACAACCTCAACAAAAGCAGCGGACGCTCCCTGTACCCTAGGGCAAGGGATTAAAAAGTTTCACTGAGAACAACATCATGTTATACTGTGATAATACAATTCTGATACACAGAACGAAGCCAAACGTGAATGAAACATGACATTTAAATCTGGAGGAAAATGGTAAACAACGCAGGGAATAAGCTGAAGAAAACAGACCTCCTGCCCCCCACAAACTGTAGCCAAAAAGGAAAAACTGTGTCCTTGTTTTTCACTGACAGTGGTGAGAGAAAGAAAGAGGTGACAGTGACTAATTCAGACAACGCCAATCGCATTCCTGTTGAAACAGGTTTGAGGTGTATTTCCACCACTGCTTTCCTTCCTTTCATATTCATTAATAACTGATTTCAATATACGATAGAGATCTCTAAATTCTTGCAGATTCAAAAATGTCAGTCAATTTTGCCCTCATTGTATCAGCAGTAGTTACAGAGGAATTGCCTAGGCCATTTGAATACATGTTGCTACAAGGGCTGCTCTGAAAGAAATGCCTCCTATTCCATTATGTTGGCCTATGATGTCAGATGTGGATGTTGGTGATGTGGCAGTAGAGGTCTAACCTTCCCACCAGTATTCCATGTTATTGCCGTGTGACAGATGGCAGCAGAGGGACAGTCTGACACAACGGGTCTGATGTGGAAGAGTGGATGAAGCAGAGGTGTGTCACTGAACTCCTCCATGTGGAAACAAAGGCATCCGCTGACATTCATCAATGTTCGCTGAACATCTGTGGATGTTAGCAAAGTGAGGCAGTGGATGGTGCATTTCTGCAGTAGTGACAGCAATGGTGCAGATTTTTTTGAGCAACAGCATGCAGGCTCTTACTCATCACTGGTGAAAATGCATAGCTAATGGTGGTGACTGTGTTGAAAAACAGTATTTTGTAGGTGAAAACTTATCAAGTAGTGTTATTGTGCTCTTTGTAGCTGTTGTATTTTCAACGGAAAGAAATGAGAGGCATTACTTTTGGAGCAAGCTACAAGTTTGATGGAAGACAGTGAACATTCAGAAACGTACTGAATTCTCTGGTGGAAGATTAATGAAAAAGGATTAAATACTTTCCTTCTACTCACAACTAATTTATCAAATAAAGAATATGAGCTTTGAATCTTACAACAACAAAGCAGAAAAAGAACACACCTAAACAGCTACATTGTGTGTAAACAAGCAGAAGGGCTGATCAGTTAACTCAAGCTCTTTCTAGAGTCTCACCAATGATGGCACATTAAGGAGTGCAAATAGTTGTGTGGCGTAACGATTACTCTTGACTTCTTAATAGAACAGATCTCATCAGTTGTAATAATTTTGAAAGAATGAACAGAAACGTGAGGCAAACAAATATAAGGCTCATACGCAAGTAATTTATAACTACTCATAAGCTTTGTTACTTATGACAGCTGTGTAACTGCCTGCAGAAAGCTACATTAGCCTATGCTATATTTTCATCAGTTTCCATTAAGCTGAAACAGCAATAGCTTCGCTGGCAAAAGCTTAGAGCTGGAGTTTTGAAATTGCATTGAAATCAACCCAAGTGGGGAAAAGATGACAGACCAACAGTAATTCCACCCCCAGCATTTAACTGGAATTAGTAGGTCGATTTCATGAATGAGCACAGTTTAACTTGTCTCCTAGAAATTATCTTGTTTGGAAAGCTCCTGTTGAATAGCTCCTGTCCCCCTCCACCCCCAGAAGCACTTAAGATTATGGGAATAAAACCCAAACTATAATGTATTTTAAAAAGTTAAGAGTGAGGAAAAAATTAAAGCTTTTGCAATATTTTAAACCCTTCTTGTTAGCTAGAGCAAAATTTGATTTTATTTCTCAAACTGCAGGGCTACTTCCATAGAGAAGCAGAACAGATTCCCCTCCCCAGGGCAAGCTCAATGGATGCTAAGTGTTTTCATAAGTAAAGGCAGTTTTTGTTTACTGAGGAATAGTTACAGTGTGATATATTTTTATTTGCAGTCTTTCTTCTGGAAATGAAGTAAAGGTAAAAAGAAATAGCCCAAGGAGGTGGAAAAAAATAATCTGTGGTTGACTGACACACTGTATGTGTACTTCACTGTGTAGGCCCTCCACTGAATATATCTTTTGAATAAAATGCCAGAAGGTCTTTATCTAGCAAAAACCTTTCAAGAGATCAGGCCTGGGTTCAGATGGTCATTAACTCAAAACTCCAAAATTTTTAGCAAGAATAGCAGAAGTCACAAAGAGTTTTATGATATAATTATTGAATAAAATAAAGTGAAATGAGAGACGCAAATATTTGATGAATGCATTTGGCAAAACATCTAGATCAGAACTTAATCATTCAAGTACACGTGTTTAGATTATCCAGCTTGGTTATCTTAAAAAAATGAGCCAAAGCAATTGCAATGCCATTCAAAGTACTGAGCTCTGAAGTCCAGTAAGTAACTGAACTTGTTGCCCATGTTCATCCCAACTGAACAGAAAAAAAAAATGAGAACTCACATGAGTAACTACAGTTACTCCTGCAGAAGAAAGTAGCTTAGAAAAAATCCAAGTCAAGGTCCTCTGACGCAAGGCCACATATGTGCTAAAACTATTTATGTGTATTATGTGTGTAAGAAATACAAGGATAAACAAGGAGTGATGGCAACAGAAATGTACTTTTCTCAGTTCTGCTGTTTCATACAGCCTCATACACATGAGCAGAATTTCTCAAATCTTAGTTTCTATTCACATATAGAATCTCAGAATAAGCAATGCTGGAAGGAATCTCCAGAGTCGTCTATCCCGACCCACTGGTCAAGTAAGATTATATTCAAAGTTAGACCAGGCTACACTGGGCCTTCTCCAGCCAGGTGTTAAGCACCTGCAAGGATGGAAATTCCAGTCTTCCCAGGTGCCTGATCTAGCGTTTGAGTCCCTTACAGGGAAATATTTGTTGTTTACATCTATAGGAAATTTCTCTTGCTGCAACTTGTCATCACTGCCTGTTGCCTTTTCCTGTGCACCTCCAAGAAAAGTCTGATTCTGTATTCTCTACAATCTATGTTTAGATAACTGAACCAATTACAGTGCCCCCATAGACTTCCCATGGACAAATAACCCTGGGTCTTCCAACCTCGCCTTGCATGTTGCATGCTGCAGCCTACAGACCATGTCAGTGACCCTCTGCTGGACTAAATGGAGTTTTTCAGACACTCTGTTCCTCTGTGGGGACTGAAACCAGACACTCCACTTTGAGTGCTGTCTCATCAGAGACACACAGATAGGAATAATTAGTTCCTTTGATTTGCTGGCTGCACTCTTCCTAACGTGGTTAATCTTCACCAGCATAAGGACAATCTGCTCTCTCATGTTCAGCTTGCTGTCCAGCAGCACCCTGGATCTGCTTCCATTAAGCCTTCTTAGCCTTCTGTCCCAAGCGTTAGACTTTGTTGAACTTCATGATACTTCTGTCAGTCCAGTTCTCCAATCAACTGATCCTCACAACCCACGATTATCTGCAAACTTGACAGTACATCCCAAACCATCATGCAGGCTGTTGACAAAAACTTGCTACCATCCTCTGTGGAACATCATTTGTAAGTTAGCCTCCATTTAGACTCTGACCTATTGATAGAACCTTAGCCAATTTTTCACCCAGATATCTTTAAACAGATCAAAAGTCATATGTTCACTGTCTTAAAAAAAAAAAAAAAAAAATAGGAAACAGCTACACAGTCCTGATAAATACACTCACAAACAATTTGGTTTTAACTGGTGACTTGATGAAGATGGTGGGAAACGTACAGAGAGAGATCACCGAGGAAGGCATGCAAAACAACTATCACAGTGAAAAGATCAAAAGGTAACAAGAGAGCCAAGGAAATGTCTCAGACAGAAAGAATACCACATTACATTTTGGCATAAAGTGTTTGAAAGAAAGGTCTCTCTTCTAACTGTGGTAATCTCTCTCTAATACAAGATTCTCCAGGTACATGCATTATTATCTGATTGACTGACGTAGCTCGTTGCAGATCCCTGCTTGCTTGGCCCTCTTCTTCCTCTCTACCCTACTTTTTTTTTTTTAATGCAGTGAAAAAAAAATTCTCAATCACTTTATTATCATAACAGTTTGATCACACTGCCAAGTTTAAGAGAATGCTGTATTTTGAAAAGAAGTTAGAGAAACTCAGATGAATACATGAAGAATTGAAAGAAATGACAAATACTATACACTTAAAAAAAAAAAAGTGAAGAAGTATGGTTTCTTATTTATTTGTGAAAGCATCTTGATTCCTGAACAGAAACATATCTCATGCAAGACAAAAAGCCCAAACTGACAGTGTCCAAACTACTGATGAATGTATCTAGCATGAGAAATTTCTTGTTACAACCTATAAATAGTACTTGTAAAATGAGACTGAGTACAAATTTAAGGCTGGAAGTGTCTCTTAATTGCACAGGTGTTTTGTTTTTACACTAAGAGTTAACTCAGCAGCACGCATAAAGCAGACAGAATTTATTTTCAGGCATTACAGGGAACTTTTCCAATGTGTTTTTTCTTTTTTTCCTTTTTTTAAAAGGGCTTCTGACAGGCATTCCAGATTGCCCACTGGTGTCATTTGTCAGTTTGGAGTTTCTCTCCACCCCCGGATCTGTGCTTTGTCATTTGACAGTCCCATGAAGGTCGTGATATTGAGAAATAATTGTAACACAGGTCAGGAAGAGACTCAGTCCCCTGCTTCAGGGAAGAAAATTCCACGCTAGGGATTTCGCATTCATCTTCCCAGCTCAATTTGGCATTTTATAACTAGCGACTATTTCACTTGCACAGCGGAAGTTATCATCGGCGTCAATATCAAATCGCTATGACTTACTGTCTGGGAGGCAGGACAGCATTTGCAGGGATCTGCAAGCAGGAAGCTCATACAGTAAGTTACATCTAGGGGAATAACATTACCGCCTATTGCATAATAGGGAGAAAGATCCTTAAGCTCAAGGGCTGGTATCAGCCACCCCATCCTTACACAGGCCGTGCCCTCCCGCAGCGCTCGGACCCCCCCGGCTCTGACGCGGCTTGGGGAAGGGGCGGCAGTTCGGCCAACACCGCGCACGGGATGCGCTGACACGCTCCTCCCGCAGGCCCAACGTTTCAGCTGGGAACTCGGCACGGTCACCGCGTGCTTGCTTGAACGCTACAGCCCATCGCGGCCACCCAAAGGACAGCTCGCGGGATTCCCAGCCGTCCGACAAAGACCCAGCCGCCCGCAGCGCCGGTTCTCCGCAGCCCCTCGCTCGCTCCCTGCGGGCAGAGCGAAGCACCCCGCGAGGCTGCCGAAAAAGCCGCCGCCTCCCCGCCCGCCGCCCGAGCTCCGCGATGCTCTCACCAGGAAGCGGCTGGAACTGGTGCCCTGATCGATGGAGCCCACCAGCGGCCCCAGCACCATGCGGTCCGACGCGGCCATGGACCCCCTTCCGACGCCGCCGACGCCGCCCCCTCAGCACCTCGGGGCGGGTAACGGCCGCGCTCGCTCTACACCACCGCCTCGCTGCCACCGGCGCGTGGCTGCCGGAGTGAAGCCGGCGGGGCGGGGCGGGGGGCGCTGCCGCGCGCAATGCTGTGGCGGAGCCAATCAGCGCCCGGGGCGCGGCGGGGGCGGAGAGGAGGGGGCGGAGCCAAGAGGCCAGGAAATGGGCCACCGGCAGGAGGGGCGGGGGCGGTAGGGGGGTGTGTGTCACGTGATAGGGGGCGCGCGGCTCCTCCCTACGGCCGCGGTCGGTTGGGCTGGGGGCGCTGCAGGCGGTTCGTGAGGGGGGCGCGGAGGGCTGCGCCGGGGGCGGCCGCGCGTCGAGCGTGTCCCGGTTTCGCTGGCAACCCGGGAGAGCCGCTCTGAGGAGGAGTCTGGCGGCAAGCGCTCTGGAGGCGGTGGGGCGAGGCTTCTCCGCCCCGGGGGAAGATGTCCGCCGAAACTCGGCTGCTCGGATCGCCCCTTGGCTGATGAGGGCGGGGGGGTCTGCGTCGCTGTGTGCGACCTGACCCGGCGTCCCCACAGAAATAGCGAAGGTGTACGATGTCGATCGTCATTTCTCGGTGCTTGTTGCTAACCAGTGCTTCAGGAAAAGCTGCCCGTGTCGCAAGGCCCGTGGTGGAGTTGCAAGAGCTGAAAATGCTGACTAAATCGTACAAGAAGTCACCTCGCAAAGCCTTGCAGTAAATGGGCTTCCGCAGGCTCCAATAAACAGATTATGCTTGTCCGCTGTAGTTCTCTAAAGTCTTCGTGTTTTGTCACTGCCGTGGTCTAATTAGTGCTGCCAATTGGTGATGTTTGATGTGCCATCTACAGCGCTTCCCACATAGCACTGCTGTGTCTGTGAGCATCAAGGTTTTGGTGTGGGTGCTATCTTCTCCTGTGTAATAACAGCGAGTGACTGCGTTACAGCCCCAGCTACAAAGTCTGAAATGACTTTTTTTTAAAGAGTTTTTGACTTGATTAAAAAAGGACTTTTTTAAGAGTTAAGAAAGCACCTAAACATTAGGCTGCTAGGAAGGATTCTCTACTACCCTAAAATGTAATATTCAAGATTCTCATTAGTGTAAACTGCAGAGACTGCATTGCTGAAGGACTTTCTGCAGCCCGTACCCAGTGAGGTCCCTCATCTGCCACACCGTGCTCTGAAGGGCACTTCTGCCCCAAGGCCACAGGCAGTGACTGCTGTTGACTTTAAAAGTTTCTTTGGGGCTACAGCATCTCTGTACAGGCTGAAGCTCAAGGAATTAATTTCAAGGGATCTTAGCCAAGTCCCAGTTCATCAGTATAATTACTAGAAAAGGTATGTTTTTGTGTGCTTTTTTTTTTTTTTTTTTAACTTGCCCTAGGTGTTCTGATGTTAACACCAGGTAAGTCACAGTTATTTTCAGCAAAGATTGAGGTCTGTCAAGATGAATGAAGATGCAACATCATGACTAACACTTATGCAAAACAGTAAATACCTATGTTTGCATGTTTTCACATTTACCTGTGTAAAATTTACGAAGATCATTTGGTTACAGAAAATTCCCCGGGGAAGCAAATTGTCAGTTTTCACAGAATCACAGAATGGCCCGGATTGGAAGAGACCTCAAGGATCATGAATCTCCAGCCCCCCTGCCATAGGCAGGGCCACCAGCCTCCACATTTAATACTAGACCAGGCTGCGTAGGGCCCCATCCAACCTGGCCTTGAACAGCTCCAGGGACGGGGCATCCACAGGCTCAGCCTGTTCCAGCACCTCAGCACTGTCATAGTAAAGGACTTATTTTTGTACAGATGCTCTAGCAGTATTCTCTCTGTTTTCATACAGCTGGAAAAGGAGTGCTGGCAGTTATAACCAAAGCCATTTTTGTAACCTTTGAGCAAGACTGGCAGAATCAAAGAGCTTTGGGAGACACCAGAAAACAGAGTCAGTGGGAACAACTTATTCTTCCTATTTCATTCAACAGTGCACTCTATCATTCAGCCTTTATTTAAGTGTTAATTTAGTGTTTGAACACTTCAATTTTCTTTTATTTTTTCATAGTTTTAAGTTGCTATTGCAGACCTGTTAGTGGGCCCTGTGCCAAGAAGGCTGTTTGCAGAGGAGGAAGGGTGGGGCTGTGACCTTAGCTTTATGGTAAGGTGGTGTGAGGCTGTACTGCTGAGATGCTGTTAGAGGAATTAACTTGGAAATGGAATTAGTGTACCTGAAGGAGCATGGGTATCTGTTTGGATTCATTTGCTCTGCTTCTGGCTTGGGCCTTGCTCAGGCAAGTCTACAGAATGCTGCTTAAATTATTACCTATCAGTTCCCCTATCAAACAACATACAAGCTGAAGAAAAAAAAATCTTACTTGTAAAGAATTAATATTCATGGTTTTGAATGTTAAATATACTTCTCTCAAGTCTGGCAGAAATAATGGAGAATTCCATTACTTATGGAAAACTTAATTACAACAAAGTTTAATTTGATTTCCAAACCCAACACACTCCTGAAGATGATGCTTGTTTCAAACTCCCAATGGATGTAAATTACTGCAGATTTGCTTGTATTCCACATACAGATTTTTGACCATTTGTTCAGCAGACTAAATTTGAATGGAAGTTTTCTCCATTCCTGAATATATATAGCTTCAGTGATATTATTTAATATTTTAAAGTAACAAATACATTTGATATACATTAATTATAAACACAATTGTATGTACATCTATACTTACAATACATTTTTCAGAGACAAGGAACTTTGTTTCTAAAGAACTATTCTCAGTGACAAATAACTCCTCTCAATTTCATTTACTTATTTATTTGTTTGTTATATATTTACTATCAGCAGTAATGAAGGGATATTGGTAACTAAATTCTGCTCTTTCCGTCCGATTCTTTTGTAATGACCTCAAACTGAGGACAAAATGTGACTGTCAGGCTACTCCAAGCATGTGATAACGCGTGAAATAAAGAGTGCATGCCAGATGTCCATGTCTTTCCATTCTGCCCATCAGTGACAGAGATAACTCGGCAGGCTGAATCCTGCTGTACCTTACTGATGACCCCCAATCTTTGTGTTCCTATAGGAAGGGAAATGAAATATTTGGAGTTAGCTCAGAGCAGGTGTACATACGTACGGTGTGCCAGGACCTTACGTCAGGCTGTCACATACACCCTTTTGCCTACTGGGAACGTGAATGGTATGTGTGAGTGTGCAGATGCTTGCATATTTGAATAAATCTTGTCTCTCATACCAGCCCAGGGAGTAAACGCAAATAGATTGTGACCTTGGATGCCAGTGCCCTCCTATCTGAATCCAGGGTTTGTAGCACCGCTATGCAGGGAGCCCTTCCACAGATACATAAAGGAAGCAGATCAGAAGGAGTGGCTCTGTGTTCTCTATACTAGGTTTATTTTGGAAGGTGTCCACAGTGCTTTGTCACCATTTGGCAGGAACAGTTTTATTGTGAAGCCATGGGCTGCAGTGATGCAATAGATGTCTTGTAGGATGTGTTCTACTTCTGACCTGATATTAAACAATAGTTCTCCCTGAATTACATTTTATATTTAGAATCACTCTCACATTGTTCAAAGCCTGAGCAGTCGCTGTTGTAGTTACTGTTTCTCACATGGACAGAAGGAAAACTTGGATTAAGTAAACTCACCTTTTAAAGACAACAAATACTGACAGCTGTGAAAAGTAGTTTGTAAACCAGTAAGTATTTACATGTATCATATTACTGAAAATGAAAAAAAAAAAAAAAACAGAAAAAAATCCTCAAGATTATTATATAGCATTCTTGAGAAATAAAATAGTAATTCAGAGAAATAGAAATACTCATTAGTATTATAGTTGATAATCCATGCCTCAAAATCCTTAACTCTGAGATGCCTGGTTTTCCATTTCTATATGGAAATTCATGTTTCCATATAGAAATTATGGCAACTCACTGCAAAAATTCCTGAAGGAAAATAGACACTCCATTGAAGAGGAGCATTAAAATTGAGTTTGTTTTCTACTGATTTCCTTACAAACTGTGTTTTGCTGGCTTTCTTTTTATTTATTTATTTATTTATTTATTTATTTCTCTCAAATGAACTGATCTGCTTTGTTCTCCATAAATGGCAACGGCTTTTCATGTGTATCTTTCTTGTACAGGATATTAGATATTTCTAAAAATAAGCATAAGTGAAATTACTATGTATAATGAAAGGATTGAGTGAATTTCTCTATATACCAGTAGTTATCACTTTTTTACCTGAACCCCGAGACAGAATTGAAATCCTGTTGGCACACACTCTAGACCTGTGTTTCCAGCTGTGGGTATGAAAAATTCCAGGACACCCATATTGAAAACACTAAGAAGCATTGGTGCAGTTGCATGAGAATCTGAAGGCTATCAGTGCACTGGATTTAAGCAATTTCTCTTAATTCTGCACTAAGCTGAGCTCTTACCTCATACAGTAGAACTAAAACTAATTACAACAAAATAATGTTTCAAGTGAGATGCATCTTATATCTAGAGAGTTCAGAATGAGAGGGTTGATAAAACATATAATCAAATACATACTATGTTTGTAGAAACATAAATATATGAAGGGAAATGCATTTTAGTGTATTTGAGGAAATGTATCCTCCACTTCTGGTTCTCTATTTCAGTTTGGTTATTACACGGTGACTTCCCAACATCCACAGAAAAAGCATTAAGGATTTAGTACTGATAGTTCCATGATGGTCCAGTTTATTTACTCAAGGTAATGCAAAGACCCACAGGTCCCACAGAATCCATAGACTTTTTTGTCTATGAACCTTAAAAGCTTTTGACATATCTCTGCAAAGCCTTTTGCAGCAGTGTAATGCTTGTTTATGGCATTTATTTTACAGATAGAGAGGAAGGCCCAGAGCAGCCCCACTGCTGACCATTGGCATGCAGCAAATGCTCGGCAGAGCAAAGGTAAAGAACAGTGCTCCCTCTGGCCATGAAACGCTGCTCTTATCCACCACATTGCTCAGGAATTCCTGTTGTCCTCACAGAGAACAGGGATGAATTATCAAATAATAATCAGCAGAGGCACAACTTAAATTGAACTCACAGCAGACA